GGGGCATGGGATGGGATGGGATGAGATCCATGGGATGGGATGGGATGGGATGGGATCCATGGGATGGGATGGGATCCATGGGATGGGATGGGATCCATGGGATGGGATCCATAGGGTGGGATGGGATGGGATGGTATCCATGGGATGGGATGGGATCCATGGGATCCATAGGATGGGATGGATGCTGCAAACCGCTCTCCCAGTGACCCTAATACCTGTGACACTTCCCCTGCTGTCCCCAGAGTGTCCCCAAGGCCCAGCAGAGCAGGTCTCTGCTCTCCCGAGAGGCTCCAGCCTCAGCAGAGCTGGGGACAGGGCACAGCACACGTCACAGCAATCACTTTTCCTTTTTCACCTTTCCTTTTTTAGCTTGTTTGAATTGCAGGGCTTGGAGCTGGAGGTGGCTTTTGACTTGTGAAATGCAAATATTGCACAGGAGAGAGGGAGGGAGGGAGGGAGAAGCCAAGGAAAATCCCTTGTGCAAACCTGCAGGAAGGTACAGAGGGATGGTCGGGGTTTAATCCCAGCTACAAACGGGTATTTGATGCTGTTTGTCCTTTTTGATGTGTCCCCAATGTCCCTGTGACACAGCAGGAGCCAGGACAGGATCTGCTCTGCAGATCCCAGAGCAGGGGATAAATCAGGGTTGGGTTTAGAGGGGTGTTTGTGTTTTTGCTCTGCAGATCCCAGAGCAGGGGATAAATCAGGGTTGGGTTTAGAGGGGTGTTTGTGTTTGTGTTTGTATTTTTGTTCTGCAGATCCCAGAGCAGGGGATAAATCAGGGTTGGGTTTAGATGGGCTGGGGTGTTTGATGGCAGGAAAAGATCTCTGACACCTCTGGCTTCCTTCTCTCCTTCTTTGCTGTTGAAAATCCCCCTCAGGCAAGGGGCAGCTGAGGATGGGATCAGAGAATCTCTGAGGTTTAAAAAGTCCTTTAGAAATCCAACCATTCCCCCTGGACAGCCAAGGCCACCACCAAAACCTGTCCCCAAGCCCAGCTTTGAAATCCCTCCTGGGCTGTGACTCCACCATCGCCCTGGGCAGCTGTGCCAGGGCTGGGCACCCCTCTGGGTGAGGAAATTTTTTATTAATCTCCAAATTAAACTTCCCCTGGTGCAACTGGAGGCCATTTCCTCGTGTCCTGTCCCTCATTCCCTGGCACAGACGGTCGTGCATGAGCTGGAAAACACAAACCCTCAGTGTCAGGCTCTGCTGACCCCTCTGGCATTTTTAGGTGTGGGCTCTGCAGCACCTTGGAGACAAAATTGTTTATTTTCCCAACTCAGAACAGGAGGCTTGAGCAAACAGAGTGACACAAGCTCCTTGGAGAAGCAAATATTGTCCTGTTTATAAAAATCTCTCTGCTGGTGACATTTAAGGAGCGGCTGCGTCACCCCCAGAGGTCACAGGGCTGGCACATCCTCCCCCAGCTCTGTGCCAGGCTCAGAAACTCTCTATAAAATAAATAAATAAAATAAATAAAATCTATAAAATAAAATAAAATATATAAAACCCCACAAAGAACACCCAAAAAAACAATGTAAAAAGAATTTGTGCCACGGATCCTGCTGTGGTCAATAATTCCCTGTTTGTCATTGTGAGGAAATGACATTCAGGACTCCCCAAAAATCAAATTTACGCCACGGCACGATGAGTCAGAGATCAAACAAAGCTCAAGAATTCCTGTAATGTATTAAAAAACCCTCCAAGAAATATTTGAATATCTACAAAGTTCATGAGTACACAGTGCAATGGAAATGGAAATTTTATTTTTGATAAAATAATATTTTATCAAATTGGTCAAAACATCAAAATAAAGAAATGATCAAAAATTTATCAAATTTATCATATTTACCAAATAGTATTGGCTGTCATTGATTTGTTTCATTGGAATTCATAGATTGGCTTTTTGCATCACAAGTATTTTGATATAGTACAATTTATACTCATTTTAACTGCTTTGTAAAGTCTGTCAGTTCATGTATAGTTCACTATATTTAAATATAATATATATAAAATATTCTATTATATATAGCTATATAATAATATATATAGTATACATAATAATCTATAATATGTATTCTATAATATATAAAATATTTATGATAATATATACTATACAATAGTACATTATATATTATTTATTATACAATAAGATATTTATTTTATATATTATATACTACATGTTACTATAAACTCTATTATATATAAATAGTAATTAATATAATTAGTCTACATATATTATATGCACTCTATTTTATATACAAGATATATTATATATTATTTTAATATATTAAATATAATTTGTATATTTATCTCGATATAATTAAGATAATATAATTTATACAATTAATATAATAAAATTATAAAATGACTTTATTATATAAATATAAAAATATATAAAATATTAATATATAATTATATTATGTGATTATATATTATTATATATAATATATATTAATATTATAGAATGTGCATAGTATATGCTATATGTTATATATATTATATATATATATTGCACTGTATATTTTATATAAATAGAAGTGTGATGAATATATTAGATCATAGCCCCTAGCAATATGTTAAAACAGAGACTAAAATACTTCTATTTAAGTGAAAGTCAATGATTCTGATTCTTCCATCTGTGGCCTGGCCTGTGATAAAATAACAGTGATAAAATATATGATAAAATATATGATAAAATATGTTATAAAATATGTTATAAAATATATGATAAAATATATGATAAAATGTATTATAAAATAGATGATAAAATATATGATAAAATAGATTATAAAATAGATGATAAAATATATGATAAAATATATTATAAAATATGTTATAAAATATGTTATAAAGTATATGATAAAATATATGATAAAATATATGATAAAATGTATTATAAAATATATGATAAAATATATGATAAAATATATGATAAAATATATAATTAAATATATTATAAAAATATTATAAAATATGTTATAAAATATATTATAAAATATATGATAAAGTATATGATTAAATATATTATAAAATGTATTATAAAATATATTATAAAATATATTAAAAATATA